GCAGTGTGGGTAGGCCACTTTCTAGGTCATTGGTTCCCAAAGCAAAGACCTTTGAAGGGGAGCCATCTATGTACTTAATGCATAATGCATTCCAGACTGCTCGATACGACCAATAAATAATCTTGACTGGAGGAGGAGCGAGGAATTTTTTGTATGGTCGAAAGGGAGCGCGTCTCAAATAAGTTTGGGAACCAATGCACTAGATGGACTGACGATCTGGTAAAGATCGCGGGAAGTAGGTAGGTACGTGCGGGCAGCGCACCCTAGGGCTGGTTTTTGTGGAAATCGGGAGGCCTTTGTCCAGCAGTGGACGTCATTTGGCTGAAACGAACGAATTTCGTAGTCCAAGGACAGTTTAATGTGCGTTGAATTCAAACGTTTTTCCTGTATATTAGAACAATGGTGTCGAATCCCACAACCGTATCACGAATGCCCAAATGCAAGCAGCTTCCGATGGTCCAGCACATCTAAACACAGTGGCGTCTATCACCTTTCAATAAGGTCGTATTTGCAATAAAAATGTGAAGCCTGACGTGCTGTTGTTTGTACACAACTATCAGTTCTTTGTCGGTCCGTCCCATTCATGAATACATTGATAACAGTGTGATAATGACATGTCAACAATATTTGTTTAGATTTAAGTTTCGCTATTAAATAATTTAATAAATAAGTAAACAAATTAACTCTAAAAACAATAATTATGTACTTATTTATAATTACGTTATTATCATTTGTGTGCCGATAGATATAGTGTAGGATACAAAGACATTTAAAAGGTCATTTAGCCTCCACTGCAGGAGTACGATCCCCTCTAATTTCGTTCGTTGGTTTCAGCCAAATGACGGCCACTGCTGGTCAAAGGCCTCCTCCAAGGCTTTCCTTCGACCGGTCCTGCGCTGCCCGCATCCACACGAACTTCACCAGATCGTCGGTCCACCTAGTAGAAGGCTTGCCCACGCTACATCTTCCGGTCCGTGGTTGCCATTCGTGAATTTTCTGCCCCAACGGCCATCGTCTCTACGAGCTATGTGCCCTGCCCATTGCCACTTAATTTTAGCAATTCTGCGACCTCTAATTTACCAGAGGCAAATGGAGGATTTGTTCTATACTCCCCACGCTGGCCAGACGGGTTGGGGAGACCTGATGTTCGCATATACAGGATGGCCATCATCATTTCAGCCTCAGGACGTCCACAACTAGTGGCCGCCCGCGAGTTCGTACTCCATGGACCCCGTTTTATAAATAAATAAATCTTTATTTTACTCACACAAAAAATCGAACAGAGTTACATAGTGAATGTATAAGATACGTTTGATGTTCATTCTTGTGTGAGTCTGATGCCTATGCTAGGTATTTAGTATACCTGTATTACAGGTCATCAGGCTCCCACCACCTCAGGTCACTAAGTATCTTCTATGTGCCATACAATCAGCTTACACTTTTCACTTTAATATTAATACTTACTCGTATCAGAATTACAAGAAATAGGTGTGTGTATGTGTGTGTGTGTATGTAGTGTGTGTTTGTGTAGTGTATGTGTTTTATTCCCTTAGAGATTGAATTTTGCAGTCAGTGACCTTACGCTTAGGTAGATTAGTAAAACAAATTGTCACATATCAACAACAGTTTACTTAATTACTTATTTTACAGAGTATTCAACATACTTATTCTTAACAGCTAATTGTCACGTACATTTGACTATGTGGCTTCAGAAAATCTTCAGACTAAAGTACAGTTACGCCCGTATTCACAAACATTACTATGAGGTCTCACAGTCCGCGTGGACGCACAGGGTCACACACGAACCAATCACAGAGCTCTATTCAACGCTGTGCGGTCGATTTGCTGCTTCACTTAAGCAAGCATCGTTTGTGAAAACGGGCGTTAGCCTCAAATATTTAGTGAAACCCAAAGTAGCCAAAAAGTTCGCAACAAGTCTTTGTTACAATGAGGGCTATCGTTTTTATACTTAACAGTTGGCACCCCTGGCGATTGACAGGACCTTACTCTACAGTGGCGCCATCTTGATGAGTGCAAATACGATAGTCCTCCTACCACTTTCGCGCTCACCAGTTGGTGCCACTGTCTTCGCTACTAGCAAGTGACAGGACCTTACTCTACAGTGGCGCTAACTGGTGAGCGCTAAAACGATAGCCCTCATTGGAATAAGGTTGTGTTGTCAACTTTTTGGCCACTTTGGATGTCACGAACTATTTGACGTATGACTCTACATAAGTTAAGAAATAAATTAAATTATCCTATAACACCATTAAGGAATATGTAAGATTTTTTATTACAATTCTCTAGTATCAGTGCTTTTCTTTCAAAAATGTCTGAAAATACCTAAGAATAGACATTATTTACGTGATGTCACGATACCTTAACATGGGCGCGTGTTATGTGACGTCACGTTCTACCAATTCTTTAAAATACAAAGTTTACCCGTCCAATTTAAATACTTGTTTTACTGAAATTCTAGGATTTAACTAAATTGTTTATTTATGAATATTACTATTTTTTAAACCGATGCATATTCCTTATTACCTAATTCCAAATTAAGAGCGCTCATGCACTGTTTGACAGTATAAAGGTGTATTCACAAAAAAACGTTACGTGCGCGGGGCTTACGCAGTCCTTACGTGGAGCTTATGCGGTCCTTAGGCGGGGCTTACGCGGTCCTTACGCGGGGCGTATTGAATAAACCTTTTAACTGTCATACGCTATAACGTCGTCCGTCACATACCATTATAGTCAACTCATAAAAAATAATTACCTACTTACAAATTAGTGACTCGTAATAAATTATTTATTTAAGTCTGTTGTCCAGCCAACCAAGATCTGTTATGTAGGTATACAGGGTGGAAACGATAAGTTATCTCACTCGATTATTTCTAAACTACCTATACAAGATATCGAGAAACTGGTTGCTGATCCTGAAAGTGCTTCACAAGCTCTATCAAACAGTATTAATAGGTTACAGAATAAACATGATTTTCGAAAATTCAATGTTTCCAGCTGCCATACATCCACTTATAGTTTCCACTCTGTATAGTACTGTGTGCAGTAGACGGTTCACGTTACATTTGTATAAATAAATAGAAATAAATGTGCAACAGTTTAGTTAATTATAACTATTAAACAATCTAACTAAAGTTACGATCAACAATTTTAAATCCAAAAATAACATAAGGTATCCTAATCGTTTCATCCACGAAGACGCGCCCCACCAATTTTTGGTCTCGGTCGCGCGGGGTGCGGGGAGTGTGGTCCGAGCAAGCCGTAAGGCATTACTGTAGTGAGCGTGTGCACTCATGGATCATTTAGCGTGTACCGATAACACTAAAAAATTAGCGGGAGAATGGTGGGGCGCCTCTTCGTGGATGAAACGATCTGTGTGCTTACCATGAGTTTACGTTACGTGTGCTCGCTAGCGACTGCGTAAAAAAATGACATTAATTGTATGACATATTGTGCAGCGCCCCTAGCGGCTACTTTCAAGAAACAAAATCTCCATAGAGATTTTTGACGTTTTCGCTAGCGAGCACACCTAACGTAAACTCATGGTAGGTACACTGTAGTCGACGGCACATCAACCTATACGATTTTTGTTTTAAATAGCTCCTAATAGTATAACTATCTGATCCAGGTTGCTGCGCACCTCGCTGGAATGCGACTCTCCCTCGCACTCACCCGCACACCTCCCCGCGATCGTCCCGTCCGTACCAAAGCGGTGATGTGACGTCACGGCTCCCAGGTGCGCAGTTAACGCGACCAGTGTGCCTACCATGAGTTTACGTTAGGTGAGCTCGCTAGCGAATACGTAAAAAATTCTATGAAGATTTTATTCCTTGAAAGTAGCCGCTAGGGGCGCTGCATAATATGTCATACATTTAAGTGTCATTTTTTTACGCAGTCGCTAGCGAGCACACCTAACGTAAACTCATAGTAGGCACACAGATTGTATACATACAAGATGCTAAGAGTATGTTTAGCTCCTATATTACAAATTGTCTAGAGACTCATCTGTACGTATAGACAGAACAAAATTTGTTTTAATTACATAATTATTCTAAATAATAATAACTGAACAGTTTCAACAAACTAGATAGAGGTAGTAGAAGAGATGAAAAAAAGATTTGTTTACTTAAAAATAAATTAGGTTTTAAATTATTATTCGACTTATCGAAAACTTAACTTTAAAGCCTAACTTTCCGAAAGTCTTATTTTCCGAAAGCTTAGTTTCCAAAAAACTTATTTTCCTACAATCTTTCTCTCCAAATCTTACTTTTCCGAAAACACAATTCATACCCTAACTTTTCCGAAATCTTATTTTTTTTTAAACCTCACTAACAATTTACATAGTAACTATTATAATAATATCCATATAATCTATGACGTATCCATTTATTTAGTAACAGCTTTGGACCCTTGGTTTATAATTGGGCGATTTGAAAACGTAAGAAAAACAAAAATTTAAATTATTCTTGATTATTATTATTCCGACCACTCCATCAAAAATATACGATCGGATAAGTGTGCCCAAAGCCATGTATTCATTAGGCAACACTTGTTGATAAATACTGTTTATAAACTGTTCCTAAACAATGTTTCATAATGTTTAATCATCTCTATAAACAGTTTATAAACAGTTTATAAACATAGGTGATGAAACATTGATGATACATGTTGCCGTGCTCCCCGCTATGAGTGGAGAGCAAGTGTGGACGGCCAAGTTTCAGAAACATGTGTTTAAGGTAAACTTGTTTCACATTAGTCATAAACAGTTTACCAACAAATGTTGCCTAATGAATACATAGGCTTTACAGTATGGAGTTTCATACAAAGATTACATAGTTGATACGGTTACGATCCCTTTCCGGGTTGATAGGTGTGCTACGTCCTTTATCGTACGAACTATAACCAGAGTAGATACAAATGAGTAGGTCATCTTCAAACGCACGCAATTTTGTCAGTGTGTGCGTGCGCGCCGCATACGTATATTGGCGCGCTCACACACAAACCGCGCTCGGTGCGTTTCTATGAATATGACCTACTATTGTATTTACTCTGCTATAACGTTCTGGAATGTCAGTGTGTTATGGGGGGTGATGACGGTCGTTGTGCGACCGCCACATGAGCGTCTAGGCCATCAGAAGCGCGTGAAGTCCGCCTCATCCAGGGAAGACCGACGCGATCTGAAAAAGAAAGAGTGTAAAAAAGTGCTACGGGACTATTCCCACCTCTCGTTCCCACCGCTGCATCTCCTGTGTAGCCAGGATTTAGAGCTTGTTGCAAAACTGCTAACTAGTGTCCGACCGAAACTAGTTTTACGACCGAAACCGAAACCGAAAACGAATTTCGGCAACGGTTTCTATTTCGGCCGAAACCGAAACCGAAACCGAAACTTCCTTACAAGGCTCATATTTTGAGGGAAAAATAAAGAAAACGTTATTATAATCAGTCTTTATTGTTTTCTCTTTAAATCACATAGTTACTAATATCACAATCACAATAGGTATAAGTAGTTACTTAATAGTTAAGTAATAAAATAAAAAATTAAATCACTTTTATCTTTAGAACAAATAAACTTAAACTTCTTTCTTATAAACTCAGTTTGACACTTTTTATGACCCTTCAGTCAAAAAAGTAAAAACAAAAGAAAAAAGACAAAAGCTAAACGACTATTTATACAGGGTGGAAACGTTAAGTGATCTCACTCGATTATTTCTAAACTATACAAGATATTGAAAAACTGGTTACTGATCCTGAAAGTGCTTCATGAGCTCTTTCAAACGGTACCAATAATAATACAGAATAAACTGGATCTATCTGAAAATTCAATGTTTCTAGCTTCCATACTAAATGTGTGCCAGAAACACAATATTAGAAGTGTATTTTATTTTATTTTATAATAAACTCTTAAAATAAGCTCATAAATTGCATTCTTATTTAAAATTATTCATGGAAAACACTGGTTTTAGGCTTTCCTTGCTATAATATTGTCAAGAGATGAGTGTCATGACTGTGGTAGTACTAAATGTATGGAAGAAGGAAACATTGAATTTTTGGATAGATCCAGTTTATTCTGTACCCTATTATTGATACCATTGGGTAGAGCTTGTGAAGCACGTTTAGAATCAGTAATCAGTTTTACGATATCATGTGTAGTTTATAAAATAATGTGACTTTACCCAATGTATGGAAGCTAAAAACATTAAATTTTCGGATAGATCCAGTTTATTCTGTAACCTATTATTAATGCCGTTTGATAGAGCTCATAAAGTACTTTCAGGATCAGTAACTAGTTTAATGATATCTTGTATAGTTTAGAAATAATCGAGTGAGATCACTTATCGTCTCCACCCTGTATAAGACTATAAATTAAATTTAAACTATGATCGTAATGCACATTCGGTTTCGGTCGTAGTTTCGGCAAGTTTGCCGCCGAAAACGAAACTAAACCGAAACTCGTGTTTTTACCGAAACTCTACCGAAAACGAAACCGAAACCGAACATTCGGTCGGACACTACTGCTAACATAAAAGAGAATGTCGAAAACAGCTAGCTTTCGTCCTGAATGCAGTAACATGGCACGGACTTCCCCTCTAGCCAAATAACATTTTTGATCGCTCCGAAAACGGGACTATTCCCACCTCTCGTTCCCACCACTGCAACTGCTGTGTAGCCAGGATCTGCAGCTTGACCGCCAATAACCCAACCAGTGAAGGTCAAGTTTGTTCCGGGGAAAGTTAAACTGTCATTGAACCCGTAACGAAATTAATCAGAAGAACATAGGAGGAGTTAGAAGTTGAGGTTCGACTTCCGTCCATTTCAAAGTGGATGACAGGACCCATGTTCAGCAGTGGACATCCTGTGGCTGAAATGATGATGATGATGAAGAATTGGAGAATGTCCTCACCAGAGCCACTGTCGCTCTTCTGCGTGATCAGCTGTCGGTACTCAGTCGACAGCCTCCGTCTGCCGTGTTCGTATTTAGCTTCTTTGGCCAGCAGCGCTTCTCTTTGCATCTGGGTTCGGAGTTCGCTCGGGACGTCAGGGATGAAGAGCTGCATGAGACCGGTCAAGCCGAAGACCACGTGCTGGAATAGAAAGCAGTTTCTCAAAGATTATTGTCTCGTGGACCAGTATCCATAATCATAGCTCGTTCTTAGGTTAGAGTAGGTCCATAGAAACATTTGGTTTTCGGATAGATCCAGTTTAAAGTAACCTTTTATTGTTATTGTTAGAAAGAGCTCTTAAAGCACTTTTAGGATCAGTAACCAGTTTTTCGATATCTTGCATATATTTTTTTTTAGTTTAGAAGTAATCGAGTGGATAACTTATGGGTACTTCTCATTTACACTCAAATGTGATGGTCACACAATAATAGTTCATAAACGGTATAAGTTAGAACAATAACTTTGAAATCAGATGATAAAATATCTATTTAGCTACATACAAAATAAATTTTATCGTAATAGAAGCAAAACTAATACGAAAACATCACATGAAACGATAAAAAACGGGGTCATTTTTCGCGTTCTCATCGTGTCACACCTTCGTTTTCAATGAAACATTTGGTTACTGCATTCACAATTTTCATTCAATTTGTGTGTAGCATATACTAAAATCATCGTAATTAAATATACTTTCCACACAATAGTCAAAAAAATATCTTCTTATAATTATTTCGAATTGAGAAAGCGAAATACGTTGGTCACACGATTTTAGGTACCTAAAATTTTGAGTAATAATACAAGATTGCCGTTAAACCGAACACCAGCAACCAATCACAGCGTTCTATTCGGTTAACGTCAGTCGTGCTCCGGCTATTGGGGAGGTGAGATAGGTCGATCGTCGCTCCGCGAAAAAAATACGTAACTTTTTGTGATTATCCATAGACATACCGTCGCTTGCTTGAACAATATTTTCTACCTCTAAAATTTAATCAATTTAATTGAAACTTAGGCCATTGAAAACTTAACATGTTAGACTTATTTGTGTAGTATTCGACTTGAACCGTTAAATTCAAATTTAAGGATAATTCATAAAAAACTAAAATTTTCGTCACCTTCGTGGCATCACCTTCGTGGTGTTTTATACACGAAGGTGATTTTAGGCCACGAAAGTGATTTCTTGCTTTGGTTTATTTTAAAATATAGTGACTGGTGTTTATGTTTTTACAATATTTTAATAACTAATAAATTATACGTGGTAAGTAGAGTTCAGTACATCAATAAAAAAATAAGGGCCTCGTATTTTTGTTGTCTGTCTGTCTGTATGACTGTATGTATGTCTGTATGACTGTATGTATGTCTGTATATGTGACTGTGTATCTGTTTGTAAGATCAATTTAATGTGAAGTTTGAGTTAAAAGTTGTACAACAAAAATACGAGGCCCTCTGGCCTCGATAAAAATATATATTTTTGTTGAGGGACTGATAATCAGTTAGAGTTCTTTTTATTGAGGTACTGATAATCCTTTTTTTGCTTCTTCAGCATTTCAGAATGCCACCAGTGTCACCCTTAAAACCAATTGCGTAGAATCTTGTAACTTTGTAGGTGACGTTATCGGTAAAATTTTATCTTGTTTTTAAGTAGGTTCCTATTTATAGTATGTTATTGCTATTTATCTATGAAAATAAGACTAAATATATGTTTTATAAACACTTAAGAGTCATTTACAGTAGTAAAGTTTGAAAAAATTATTGCTGTGAAGTACAGAATCACTTTCGTGGCATCAAAAAATTCAAAACGTTAAAGCTTCCAAACGAGACTCACTATTTGACTGATTTACTGAGAATACAATCTTTACATCAAGCGCTACAATTTTTGTTTACAAAAAGTTGAAATAAGTTAGAAATAAAATTTGCCACGAAGGTGACGATGAGAACCGCAGCGATGAGAAATACCCTTATCGTTTCCACCCTGTATACATACAATATTTTGTCAAAGAGGACACATGAACTTTTTAAATAACGTGTAACGTTTATTGATACAAGCAATATGAATATCTTTTCGTCGAAAGCACTTTTCGGCATAACTGAAGGTTTAATCAGACCCAGTAGCGTGTGGAAATGATAATTTTTTAAAAGTTGGCAAAATTCAAGACATGAACATTGCATTTCAGTTTTTGGCATAACAAACAGTGGCTTTTGAGGGTTTAGATTGAGACTTGAAAGCCATCAAAGTTCAATACAATTTAAATGTACCTTGCAAAAGTTGTGTTTACTCAAATTATTGGGGTAACTTGTAATGTTAGTTGGAGTATGATTGTTGTTAATTAAATTAATAAAAAGCTTTAAAAAAGTTAAACTATGTACTATCTTACCTCGAAAACAACCACAAAGGCCAATCTCGCAGCGAACACGTGCCAATAGTGCGGGGACAACCCGTAGGGGTCCTCATGGTTCGGGGGGTTCCTGTACCCGCGGTAGGCACACGTCGGGGGGTCCACCTCGTTCTCGTCGGCCCCCCAGTCTTCCTTGTAGTCAGACGTGTTGAATACTGAAAGCATTTTCTTCGTTTACCTACACAAACTTTGGCGGTCAAGCTGTAGATCCTGGCTACACAGGAGTTGCAGCGGTGGGAACGAGAGGTAAGAATAGTTCGATTATTCGTTTGTTTCAGCCGAAAGACGTCCACTGCTGGACAAAGGCCTCCCCCAAAGATTTCCACAAAGACCGGTCCTGCACCGCTCGCATCCAGGCACCTCCCTCGTCGGTCCACCTAGTGGGGCCTGCACACGCTACGTCTTCCGGCTCGTGGTCGCCATTCAAAACTTTCCTGCTCCAGCAGCCATCAGCTCTACGAGCTATGTGCCCCGCCCACTGCCACTTGATTTTAGCGATTCTGCAGGCTATGTCAGTCACTCTGGTTCTCCTACGGATCTCCTCATTTCTGATAGGCAGGCATCCTACTCGGGGCAGATTTGCTAAAGATCGCGGGAAGCAACTGGATGCGGTGCGGGCAGCGCAGGATCAGTCGTTGTGGAAAACTTTGGGGGAGGCCTTTGTCCAGCAGTGGACGGCATATTGAACGAACGAAAGGTTTTTACACGAATACTTAGGGACTAACATGAAGAATTCAGTGGCGTTGCCCCCAACAGAAGGATAATGCAACTTTTTTCTTGGCGTCAATCAGTGGTGGACCAATGATAGGGGACAACTGGGATAGACTATTTCGTCACAAATGATAAATGTTTTAGACAAAAATACTAGCTTTTTCAAACCTATCCAACAAGGAAATGATGCCAGCATCCTCGCTGCTTACCTTACGCACAGTTTTTAGCTCTCATTTTAAACATTCATTCTGACTTTGAGTGGTATACATAGAAATGTACAGAAAAGGTACAGACGACGCCACGTCAAGGTAACCACTGCGGTTTCTTGTGCAGTTGTAATAAGAGCGAATTTGCAACAAAAATGGGTAGCCTGATGTGCTGTCGTGTGTAGGTACATTACTTACGTGACAGCGAGTGGTCTATGTACCCTGCAAGTGTGTTGTCCGGAGAGTACACGTATTTGTAAACCATCCTCGGTATGAAGTCACTGGTGTATGCTATCACGAACGCCTGGAAACATTACAATACCTTTGTTTTAAATAATGTGATATCTCTAGACTCTAGGGGTACTGACTGATAGACTGGGTATGCTTGTAACAGGGTGATGATGATGATCCATCCGACCGATTTCGGCCATGGCGGCTCCGACTCCTAGCTGTCTTGACGGCGCTGGACTGCCCGAAGATGGCTTACGTAGCCGATCTTCGCGGCAAACATTGAGGGCATCTGAGCACGCCGCCAACATAGTTATAGGCTGGTTTTAGTGTCACGCGGACCGTCCGGTGCGGACCCGCTCCGCACGGCCAATCTGTATGAACTTCTGGGGAGCGTTTTAGAGTAATGCGGTCCGGAGGAACCGCTCCGCTCCCTAGCAGTTCATACAGATCGGCTGTGCGGAGCGATCCGCACTGACAGTGCGCATGACACTAAAACCAACCATAGTGAATGGTAATTGTAACAGGGTACGGTTGTAACAACTCGATTGTTGCTCGGAGGGAAAGGGGTACAAAGGGAAGGAAGGGCATGTGCGCGACAAGACTAGTAAGGCTGTATGTATGGACTTGTCGGCGTCATGCCCTTCTCTTTGTACCCCTCTTATCTACCGAGGATTGTTCGATAACATTTTGAGTTGTTACAACTGTACCCTGTTACAACTGTACCCCCCTACTAATGCAAAAGTAGCCTAAGGACCTCTTTTGATGAATGTTAAGTATATAGATATTTGATATTAAAACTGAACTTACATTCGACACCACAGCGGCGTATGTGATCCCTCTTAGAATACCGTACCTGGAAATAAATAAATGTGTGTTTAATTAGGTACTTTATTTTAATTGTGAACTAATCGATCGATTGATGAGCAGGGAGGCGACCTATGTTACGTTTTATGTGGTTGGTCTCCAATCAAGAAAATGTTTCTTGTAATTATATTAAGCCCCAATTTTCAACTTTACATAGTCTGAATTTTATACTAGCTAACTAAAAGAAGTATCATCATCATCATCATAATCATCATATTAGCCAATGTTAGTCTAGTTACAGCTGGACGAAAGCCTTCAACGATACCTACAAAGCATGATCTCACTCCTCTCGTTGCCTTCTTCATCAGAACAATCTTCGTTCGTTTCAACCAAATGACAGTAATTACTGGACAAGGACCTCCCCAAAGATATCCACAATTATCGGTCCTGCGCTGCTTGCATTCAGGTTCTTCTTGCGACCGTCCCCTTTGAAAAATGTTCTGCCAGCTATGTAATTTAGACAACCTTAACCACCTACCAGGGGTTTCTCAGACTCCAGTGAATTTGATTCTTGTCGTAACTAGTCGCATGCGCTGTGAGAGATTTAGGCTTTTCTCGGCTTTCTTAGATTGTTTACGCATTTAATTTTTTTGAAATAAAACACTGTGAAAAATACATTTTTTTACTAAATTTACTTTTTGACAACTTAAAAGAAATCCATAAATATCTTACCAAGCCCCAATATCCTCCACTCGTTCAGCCAAAGGCCTCCTGGCCTGGGTGACCATCTTGTACGCGTCCAGCCTGATCTCAGCGATATTGTTGAGCAGAGCAAACAGCGGCGCCAGTGGAAACGCAGCCACGAACAGAGTCACGAAGCCGTATTGGAGAACTGGGGGTTAAGAAAGAGTCAAATCAATTGAAATAAAGCATCTTTAAACTAAAATAGAAAGACACGGGACTTAACGGTCTTTCAAGCCCGCCCGAACGGACGACGCCGCGAGCCGCCAGTCTGCTTGTGACCACGGCTGCAGCATAGCAGCCGGAACGCCAAGCCGTGAGTACATAATGTAACTCAGTCTTAAATGACCCGTGTCTTTCTATTTTAGTTTCAAATGGAACGCAAAAGTTTAAAATCTTATAAAGCATCTAGCAAAGCTTGAAATACACGTGATGCAACTTCATCATCATCATTATTTCAGCTACAGGACGTCCACTTCGATCCAGTCGTCCAGATAGATCATTCCCAATGATTTCCAGATTGCTCGGATAGTAGCGATCTGCATTCAGCACCCTCCTGCTACCTTTATGAGGTCGTGGATCAATTAGTATTCCCACCTCTCGTTCCCACCGCTGCAACTCCTGTGTAGCCAGGATCTACAGCTTGACCACCAATAAAAACTCACCAGTGAAGTTCAAGTTTGTTCTGGGGGAAAGTTAAACCGTCAGCAGTTAGCTCGATTGGGTTATTATTATGTATTCTGACTAGCGGCCGCCCGCGACTTCGTACGCATGCAGGGCCGGATTAACCATCTCAGGGCCCATAGGCACAGCTCGTTTCGGGCCCCCCTTTTTTTGTCGCGGAGGAAATGCTTTGCGCACCGTCACCACTGCCGGGGGACAGGGTGGTGTGTGGGACTCCCGGCGCCCTAAAAAGGGCGCTGCTCCGTCCTGAAAAGGACGAGGTATAAGCCTTAGACTTCCGCCACACCACCGGCGACAGCTCGCCTGCACGGCGGACCCTACACGCCCCCCTTGTGGGGGTCCGACGGGAATAGCCCGAAACGCCAAGCCGTTCTCGTTAGACGGAGGTGACAAGGGTGCCCCGCAACCCCAGCCTGCTGGTCGCCACCTGGGGGCAGAGTAGAACGGTCGTAAAACCGTCTTCTCCACCCCTTTCTACGCCTGCGGAGCGATGAGGCGAGAGGATCATTCGAGGAGTGCAGCGGCCAAACTGCGTGCGAGTCATGTCTCCCTTCCAGCTTTCGATCATGATCTTGCGCTCTTCCTGCCTGACGGCGCCGCCTCGCTCCGGGGCCGCCGGGCGCTTTCCACGCGCCTTCTGGTCTGCCATCCAGTGATAGATGACAGACAAGCTTCTATCTCCCAAGGAGGAGTACCAGCGAGGACGCACGCCGCAGCGTGCCCTACCGTGCGGTAGCTCCTTGCGACCCTCTGCGCTATGGCCCGCTGGGGTCTGCGCAGAAGGGCACCATTCTCCGTCTTGTTGAGTGCGCCCGCCCAGATTGGGGCGCCATACAGCGCCATGCTCTTCAGAACGCCGGCATAAAATCGACTACACCTCGTTTGTGGCCCTCCCAAATAATTTTGGGAGAAGCCAACTCAGTGCGCCGGCTGCCTTGAGGAGGCGTGGCGCTATCCCGTTGAAGTGCAGTCTAAAATGCCACCTCCCGTCAAGCGTGAGGCCCAGATATTTCATCTGGCCTTTGACGTCAATCCTAACGTCCTCAACCACAATGTGGGCATCGGGAGGGGCGCGCTGGTGAGGCCCCGGAAAGAAGAGGGCCTCATCAGTCTTCTCCAGCGCGACTTTCAGGCCGAGGCGTCGTATTCTGCGAGCGACTAATGTGCCGCCCGCCGACGCCAGCCGTGCTGCGGCCCCAACTGTTTTCCCCGGGCAGTGACCAGTGTCATCTGCATACATAGCATATGATACTCATGCCCGCGAGAAGGACGCCCCGGAGGAGCCAGTTGAAGCCTAGGTTCCACAAGAGTGGACCGAGCACCGAACCCTGCGGAACCCCGCTGGCTGCGCCGCGCCGTTTGAGCTGGCCGTCTCTGTTAACATACAGGACTTTGCGGTCCCGTAATTAATCGGCCAGCTGCGCTCGAAGGTACTGAGGCACTCTGTGATGTTGAAGTGCTTAGAGTATGGTGGAATGAGGGATAGTGTTGAAAGCGTTGGCTATCACCCCTCTCCCTAGCCTTCGCAGTGTCTCTCCCTAGTCTGCGCAGTACCTGTCATGTAAACCAAAGCAGTGATGACAACGTTACGAAAATGAATTAGGTAGGTTCCACAATATCGAAATATGACGATTAAATGTGTAAACCAAAATAAGGCAAAAATTTGAGGTGGTTTGAGTTTTGTTGCATAAAAATAATCTTTAACATTTTATTTTTCATTTTTTAATCGGGAGTGCTGGACCCCTGGTCATAATGGGCCCCTGGTCATAGTGGGCCCCTAGGCACTGGCCTAAAGTGCCTTATGGATAATACGGCACTGTACGCATGGATCCTGTTTTACCCCCTTAGGGGTGGAGTTTCGTAAAATCCTTTCTTAGCGGATGCCTACGTCAATAACATCTTCCTGCATACCAAATTTCAGCCAGATCCCTCCAGTGGTTTGGGCTGTGCGTTGATAGGTCTATGTCACTATGTCAGTCAGTCACCTTTGAGTTATACAGGGTGGATTTTTTTTAATGCCACCTGGAGGGAAACTACCCTTAATACTGTAGATAGAAAATTTTACTCAAAGAAAACATTCCTTTATTTTTGAAAAGAAAGAGAACTGCATTCAAAGATTTCCAAAAATTTGCTTGCTGCAGTCTGGAATCGAACCAACTCTTCGTACGCGTGGATCTCGTTTTACCCCCTTAGGAGTTGAATCAAAAAAAATCCCGTCTTAGTGAGCACCTACTTTCTAAAAAGAACTTCATGTAAAATTTGAGATTCCTAGTACTTGTAGTTTCTGAGATTTCGCGATGAGTGAATCAGTCAATCAGTGACCTTTCGCTTTTATAGACACTCACTCATTTCGAGGTACTCATCGAACAGCGCCAGTCGTCCCGGATCCTGCAAATGGTAGTCCTGTTCCCAGGCCATGTGGGGTTTGCTCAGGTCCCTGGTCACCGCCCGGTGAGACCTCTGTCGCCACCAGTTGTGGAACTTTCTGGAATTTAGAAGTTGAACGTATTAAACTGTGATTTTAGGATGAACAAAAAGAAGTTAGAGTCAGGAATCAGGATATTTTTGCTGACGCTTGGCCTCGTAGTGTTTGTTCGTTCGTTCGTTTCAGCTGAAAGACGTCCACTGATGGACAAAGGCCTCCTGTAGGAATTGAAATTCAGGGTTTCATTTTCAGCTTTATTTGTATTTTCTCCAGGATAAAAACCACAAAAAATAGGAAAGTCTTAACCGTCTTAATACCAATCGTCTTCTGTTTGAAAAATCCCGTCGTTCTTACTTCCTCACTCATTCGTTCCCTCTCACTCACTCTCTTGCGTTCCGTTTCACACTCCCACACTAGGACAAGGATTTCCACAAAGACCGGTCTTGCGCCGCTTGCATCCAGGCATAGTTTTTGTACCACGTCAAAAGTCACAGGCACCATGAATATAATCGGTATCGGTGTTTTTTTACTGCTTATACTTACCTATCTTCAAAAAAGTATAAGGTCATAGCAGACTTATGAACTCGGAAAGGGATCAACACCGTATCGCTTTTCGCGCGCTGTCAACGAGGCGAGGCGTTTACGTTACGGTGCGGATAAGTGTGCGTTGCAGTACGGAGTTTCATACAAAGAATAGGTACTGACCGCCTCGAGTTGATACTGTTATAGCGCTTTCACATTAGGGCGTTAGTAGCGCGACTGTAGCGCGGCAGCGGCGTTTTTATAATGTGAAGGCATGCATCCGCTGTCACATAGTATGAAATATTCGGCAGCGCGTCTGTCGCGCGTTTAATGCGCTGCTAAATCGCCTAAATGTGAAAGCGCTCTTACGATTCTTAACCGGATTCTTAAGTGTGCTATGTGCTTTATTAGAATCCGTGGTTTACAATTTCAATTCACTTTGGTAAAATCGTACCTGCTATTAAGATTAATGGTTTTAAAAAGAGATAATCGGTTGGTGGGATTTATAGTCTGGTCCGTGAGCACTTAGAATATTGTCCAATGACCCCTAGCTACCCATCCTTATCGCTCGCGCGTAATATGTTGCTATCGCGCTCGCACACTCACTGCGGGCGCGCGTCGCACAGTCGCGACAGCAATAATTACGCGCGAGCGATAAGGATGGGTAGCTTGGGGTCATTGGACAAAATTCTACGTGCTCACGGACCGGGCTTTAGAAGAGCTTTTTCCAAATAAAATAGCTAGGTTTTTAACATGAAATAAGGACAACCACAAACACACACGCACGTACGGGTATCCCAGCTCCAAGAAATTGTTGAAGCACTGCTTCCCAATCATGATGATGGCGAGCTGAATGCACAGCTCTGACAGACAGCCGGCTGGGTCGCAAATGTCGCCTTTGAGCTTGTAAAACTCGGAGCGGCGCGCTTGGTCGTCACCGGGGTAGTCGTAAAAACGGCCCTGGAGGCAATTAAATAATAAATAAATAAATAAATAAATCTTTGGACAATTTCACACAGCGCCAGCTAGCCCCAAAGTAAGCAACTTAATGCTTGTGTTATGGGTGCTAAGCTTAACGGATATACTACTTATATACTTTTTTTTTAAATACATAAATATTATACATAGTCACACCCAGACCCGTCACAGAAATTAAAATTCATCATTTCAATTTCTGCCCGGCCGGGAATCGAACCCGGGACCTCTCGGCATAGTAGTCCGTTCTGAACCACTACACCAAACGGCCGACAGTTTCATCAAATTGAAGAGTTATACAGGGTGTCCCAGAATGGGTGAATCAAACTGATAAGGGAGGTAGCTCTACTAATGTACTATCCCTGAAAAATATGAAAAAAATAAAGCGCATAAAGAAATAAAAAAAAATTTTTTGAAAATGTGAAAATAAATCAGCTTTGCCTAAGTATCTGCCTATAACTGCTGCGTTTGGAGTTTATTTGTACTTTTTTCTTACTAATATGAATTGTACATGATCGCTTCGTTTATCTGTAAACAAACTTTTGAAAATAATGACTAGTAGATTTCGAGTTTAGAGCACTTTATTAAAAAAAAAATCCGATTTCAAAAATTTTTTTTTTCATATTTTTAGGGATAGTACATTAGTAGAGCTACCTATCAGTTTGATTCACCCATTCTGGGACACCCTGTATAGTCCGTTATTATAATTATCAGCTATAGCTATAGTTCCAGTACCTAAGGCTGCGTTTCCACCAGAGATGTGTAAAGAACCAATAGAAACGTTTCATTTAGCTCGCCTCGGTAAATGAAGCGATTCTATTGGTTCTTTACAAACACATCCCTTTCTTCGCGTACTCGCACATATCTGGTGGAAACGCAGCCTAATGCAGAATTCATCAAAACTGGACAGTCGTGTGAACCGAGTATGTGTTTCAAATTCGAATTCCAAATTAGAACTAATCGGTTTTTTGCTGGATCCTGCAAAACGGAATTTCTCCATGGGAAAAATCCCTAAAAAGGGTGAGATTTGGAAAATCCTTTCTTATTGTATGGGTTCGCTAAAATCGCAATCCATTCAGAAGTTTGAGCTGTATTATAGATAAGCTAACAGGTGCTTTTACACAAATAATTTGAAGTAACAATAAAGGACGTAGCACACTTATCAGCCTGGAAAGGGATAGTAATCGTACCAACTCGAGGCGGTCAGTATTCTTTGTATGAAACTTCATCAACGCACACTTATCCGCACCGTAACGTAAGCTCGCCTCGCGGTTGACAGCGCGCGAAAGGCGATACGGTGTTGATCCCTTTCCGAGTTGATAAGTGTGCTATATACCTTAAGGATCATACCTTGAAGAACGCTATATAAATCAAAGAAGAGTAGAAGTTCATGAATTCGAAGAAGAATATCTTGAACGTGTAGGAGTCTTCGTACTCGGTCTGCGTTCGAGGGTTCTCCATGTTAGTCAGGAATACTGCTACTTTTGCGTATATCTGTAAATAAAAGAATGTAATACAATCATCAACATCATCATCTCAGCCATAGGACGTCCACTGCTGAACGTGAACATAGGCCTCCCCCAATGCTTTCCATGTTAGACCGACGACATCATAAAAGTAGCAGGAAGGCGCTGGACGCAGGCCGCTACCAACCGGGCAAGTAATACAATACAAAAGTTTTTAGGCATTTATTTATTACTACTCTAGATGTCCAGGACAGGCCCGCCACTAGGTGGACCGACGATCTGGTGAAGGTCGTGGGAGCCTGGATGCAGCGTAGGACCGCTAGTTATCTAAATCCTTGGGAGAGGCCTTTGTCCAGCAGTGGACGTCATTTGGCTGAAACGAACGAACTCTACCTTAGTGAGTATCATGATGATGATCAAATTGATCAGCGCAGCGGTCATGGTGGTGAAGATCTTAGCGTGTCTCTGGACGAAGAAGCCGCTGCCACCATAGATGACGGACACCATGGATATCCTGTAGATGATGGTGCCTAACACCGCGCCCATTACTATGGTGATCTGAAGCAAGTAAAATACATGTCACCGGAAAATAACAAGAACCGTTTTACATTATGTAGAGAGATAAATTGTTTTAAACTTTCATGGTCACTAACATAATAATTATTACGGTATTGCTACCATGTACCTACCTTAATTTTTGAGATAATAATAATAATATTAGGCCGACCAACCGGGCATTGTGGAAATCATTGGGGGAGGCCTATGTTCAGTTGTGGACGTCAAGGCACTAATGCATTTTTATTGAATTTCTTATTGAACTCACAAGTGAAATGTTATTGTTAAATCGTTAACTCACCATCCATTCCAAAGTGTTTGGAACAGCGCCAAATGTAAAAATAGGAGTCATATTCTAATGCGCTTTCGATTTTATTCAAAAATTGAAGTTGGGGTTATTTCATTTATTTATTTATTTAAAGACTTTATTGCACACACAACAATGTTCTGTACAAAAAGGCGAGCTTAATGCCATACGTCATTCTCTACCAGCTGACCTTGAGCAAAACAGAGATATTTAGTAGGTGGTGCTAAAAAGCTACAAAAATGTACACAATATAATACATAAAATAATATTATAATATATATTTATACAAAATAGTATATACTATATAATATTTAAACTAGCTTTTGTCTGCGGCTTCGCTTGCTGTTCTCATATTTGTAAATAATTGTTTACGACATATTCGGTAAAGTGGCCCGAAGATAGTTTACCATAAACAGAACAGCCGAACTGGTAGCCACGTATCGCATGGTTTTTTGCCATGCTGGAAGATACGGCTCCTTCTCTCGTGTCACTGGGTTCGTTCTGAAGGTCTTCACTGAGGTTTCGAACTCTGGTCTGGGGTCTTCGTCCTGGAAAAGAAGGCCAGTTATGAAGAGTCATCTTTCGCATCATTCTTGACTAGATATTTTTATTTGTGTTTCTGTGTCATAAAAACAGCTGGAGGGCGTGCTTTATGGCTATCTTTAGGAAAATCTTTTGGCCTACTGTCTATCTGCAGCAGGAGAACCAAAGTAACCGACATAGTAATCAAGTGGCAGTGGGCGGGGCACATAGCTTGTATAGACGATGGCCGTTGGGGCAGGAAAGTTCTCGAGTGGCGACCACGGGCTGGAAGACGTAGCGTGGGTAGGCCTCCTACAAGGTGAACCACCGATCTGGTAAAGGTCGCGGGAAGAGCTTGGATGCGGGCAGCGCAGGACCGTTCACTGTGGAAAACCTTGGGGGAGGCCTTTGTCCAGCAGTGGACGTCATTTGGCTGAGACGAACGAATGTAGACTACAAGCAAACAAGCGTATACCAAGCGTAAAATGTCAAATGGATAATGAAGTTACACGGACCTATGCTGTGGACAGTAGGACTTAGTCAAGCTTATAGACTACTACAACTGATGTACTTACTGAAATGGACTGGAAATGAGGAAAGGGATGTAGAAATCAACAAGTACCTGATCGACTCCTCCCAGGTCCCATTCCCATCTTAGAACAGATTGCTTCCTTTTCCAGAGTTCTAGGAATGTTGTAGCTGAAAATATATTTATCAATCATTATTTTAAGTAGATTCAATCACATTAGACTCAGACATGTTTTATGGATTAAAAAAAAATGTTTTTGCACAAATTACTAATAGACCCGTTAGCCCCTCGTACTAAGCTAAATATGCTTGTGTCACGAATGAGCTCACCACAATAGTCGAGCGGCGGCGGGGACCGAACCCGCGTTCCCCGGATCACGAGTCGGCCAGACCGACCCCTTCACCGTTCGGCTATCGTGGCTTCGAAGATTGTTAAAACTACATGGATGGTATGTAATAAAGAATCGACTGTTAAAATACTTTTTAAGTGGATGTGACTTACCCCAAAAAGACATGAAGATAGCGAAGAAAACTGTCGCCGGATTGTCGAAGAGATACGTCAGTTTGGCGAACAGACACGAGTCTGCTAGCGACTGGTACTGGCAAGCTTTGTCGCATAGCGGACAGAGGGTCGTGTTGCCAGGCCCTCTGCTGTCACAGATCTCTTTACTGTAAGGCAAAAGTAAGGAAAATTGAGGATTTACTACTGTAGTCTTGGCCAAATCCTCTATTTGCCTCTGGTAAATTAGAGAGCATCTTGCTCCTGCAGTGGAGACTAAATGACCTGATGATGATGACCTACAAGGTCTTACTGCAGTCTAGCAGGTTTTACCTCAACTGTGGGGTGGCTCAGGCCTTAAAAGTCAAGCCAAAAAGAGCCTTAAGTCAAATAAATAAAATTACTTCGCGACAGTACTGAAAAGAAGCAACGCAAGAAACTTAGTCACTATGGTCAGCCTTTCAATGTCTTTCGATTTACACAAGTCCATCGCCATCAACAAATGAAGAAGAAGAAGTCTTTTGATTTTTATTAGCAATCGAACTGTAGATTCTGGCTACAAAGGAGTTGGAGTAGTGGGAACAAGAGGTGATAGGTAATAGCTACTCGTAATTGGGTAGTTGGAGGTAAGAAAGCCAGTTTCTCTGTGGCTGAGGATGCTGGGTGAAGCTCGCTTCCACCTTCAGCTTGATCATCACTCCATCAGGTCAGATCAGGTCTGATGGAAAGGGATGATCAATTCGAAGGTGGAAGCGAGCTTCACCTGGCATCCTCAACCACAGAGGAACCTTACACTCATTATAGGTAAAAAAAAAGTCTTCTTAAAATTTTATTTAGACCAAGTTTTAGCACGTACCTTGGAATATTATCATTAGAGTCCATGCTGGCCAGTCCGTATAAGAAGCATAACGTCCCAACAACCGCTGGGGCATACAGCATCTTGGTGTAAAACCCTAGCCAGCAGAAATACAGTCCGATCTTATCTCCGAAGTACCTCCTCACCAGCCATAAAGGCTGTTTCTTGTACCACTTGCTCGGGCGAGCCCATTCTAGGTATAACAGCTGGAATGAAAAAGAAATATATTTTAACTAGCGGCCGCCCACGACTTCGTACGTGTGAACCCCGTTTTACCCCCTTATGGGTTGAATTTTGCAAAATCCCGTCTTAGTGAGCACCTACGTTCTAAAAGGAACCCCAGGCAAAATTCGAAACTCCTAGCACTTGTAGTTTTTGAGATTTCGTGATGAGTGAGTCAGTCAATCAGTGACCTTTCGCTTTTATAGATATATGTATATAGATACTAGCTTATGACCGCGACTTTGTGTTAAAACGTATCTTCAAAGAAAGACTTCATCGCATGTACCTCTGTAAAACGGTCTATTCCACTTTGATCACCTGGAGTTAATGGAGGAGGGTGATGTTCATGAAGGGAAGGCTAAATGAACTGATGATGATCATGTGGTTGAAATGGGTAAAAAGACTAGAGAGGGTCGTGCTTTAGCAGATGAGACTAAAGTTCATAGCAGACTTATCAACTCGGTAAGGGATCAACACAGAATCGGCTTTCGCGAGCTGTCATCGCCTTCCACGCGCTGTTAACCACGAGGGGTGGCGTTTACATTATTGAGCAGTAGTGTGTTTTTCAGTATGAAGTTTCATATTATACTGACCGCCTCGAGTTGATACGGTTACGATCCCTTTCCAGGTTGATAAGTGTCCTTAAATCACCTGTTGGGGAGACCTGATGTTCGCATACTTTTTTCGTGTTTTTTTTTCTTGCAAGCTTTAAACAATACTCACCCTTCTATCTGTAATAGATCCATCAGGCATGTTCACTTCGTATCTTCCCTCGTGTAGAGGAAAGCAGGCTAAATATGTCCCATCGTTCAGAAGTCTTCTGATGCCCATCTGTGTAAACAAATATGAATGTGTTTAGGTAGGTATGTGCTTTTTCTATGAGGAGATTCGCATTCGCGGTTAATCTAAAGTAACCGACATAGGAGTCTTCCAGTGACTTGGCCCACTTTTAGCTTGGTCCAGTCTAGGGCTTGAATACCGGAATTCCGGAATTTCGTAACTCCGTCGGATAGATTTTTTTCGATATTTCAATTTCGGAACTGAAGCCAATATTGTATTCCGATATTGAAATTTTTCATAAATTATTTTAAGTTTTCAAAACATAGCCCGTGGAATTGTCAAACTTGATAGGAACGGGCATTTAGCTCGTAGAACTGATAGACGTTGGATTAGAAAAGTCCTTATTTGGCGACCATGGGCCAGCAGCAGCCCAATGGTTTATGTCAACTGCTGAATTATTGCGGTGAATCAAATCCTAACACAATCATAATAGAAAATTAATGTCGTCTAGCTTACCTTAGTCTCAGTGTTGTCATATTTGCACCTTAACAATATTTGCATGACTAGCAGACTCCTTTGCGCTGGCGAGAATTGTGTGTGGCGGTCTTTTACTAAAAATCTGAAAAATAAAGTTTTGGTATCAGACTATACGACTGAGATGTTAATTTAATATAGGTAGATCAAAATCAAAAATCAAAATCAAAAATATTTATTCAGTTTAGACCACAAGTGGCACTTATGAACGTCAATAGAAAATAATAAAAAAAAGAAAAGGTAGCCCTTATGGGGCACTTTACATGTCTCCTTATCTTTTGGGCCCTACCAGCGCTTCATCCACGATTGTTTCATCCACGAAGACGCGCCCCACCATTCTTCCACTAATGTTTGAGTGTTCAGTTAAATATCGGTACACGCTAAATCATCCATGAGTGCACACACGCACACGACAATAATGACGCTCGGATTGCTCGGATCACACTCCCCGCACCCCGCGCTTCCCTCGACTAAAAATTGGTGGGGCGCGTCTTTGTGGATGAAACGATCTATACCTTTACTACTTCGGAATCTTCAACCACTGAGGCTGAACTAGCTTACTTACTTTCAACTGCCAGAAGAATGCTATTAACATTGTTTTTATGGTGACACAGGTAAGATGGGTAGCCACCCAGGCGGACTTTTAACAAGCTTTACTAAAGTCCGGTCGCCGAGCAGATAGAATTTCGTTCAATGACCCCAAGCTACCCATCCTTTTCACTCGCACGTAATTATGTTGCTGTCGCGACTGTGAGACCGCAGTGAGTGCGAGCGGGTCATTGGACGAAATCCTATCTGCTCGGCGACCGGACTTTACCAACCAAACCGAGCAGAAAATTTTACTCCCACTAGGATTCGAACTACCACTAGACTACAAAGTTGGTTGATACTCACTGTTCCTCTCTTCTCGCTCCCTTCTGTTCTGTGGCAGTATAGAACGAGGGTTCCAGCTCTATCCTACTGTGTTCATATTCATAGATCTGATTCCATCGTCTCCTCCATTTTGTGTACCATTTTTTGTCCCTCTCCGCCTGTTTCTCGTCGTTCTGTAGAGAATTTTACCATAAATTTAATGCCTTAAGGTTAAAATCTTCGTCATCATCATCAGGGCCTATCTAAATATAACTCAAAGGTGACTGACTGACTGACTGACATAGTGATCTATCAACGCACAGCCCAAACCACTGGACGGATCGGGCTAAATTTGACATGCAGGTAGATGTTATGACGTAGGCATCCGCTAATAACGATTTTACGAAACTCAACCCCTAAGGGGGTAAAACGGGATCCACGTGTACAAAGTCGCGAGCGGCCGCTAGTAGCAATATAATACTCACCCAGGCTCTTACAGAAATAGTTATAAATCTTTTGGTGGGTAGTTTCATCCCAATCACCTCCGCCAGTCTCATCTCCGTCTTCCAAGGTATGTGGATCTTGAGGAACCAGGTCTTCTCGTCGAAAGACAGACATTTATTCTCTAGTTCTAATTCTAAGCCTTCCCTAATGAGATTCTCCTGAAATAAGAAATAGTTGAGGTCAAAAAATAGATCCTTGGAGAACGCCATGAAGTTATAACTTAAAAACATTCGTTCGTTTCAGCCGAAAGACGTCCACTGCTGGACAAAGGCCACCCCCAAGGATTTCCACAAAGACCGGTCCTGCGCCGCTCGCATCCAGTCACCTCCCGCGACCCCCACCAGATCGTCTGTCCACCTAGTCCTAGGTACTCATGGAGGGTTTATTATCAAAGTCAAACCTGAAAAGTCCTCCTATGGTCCCTCTTCTTGGCTTCAGCCTCGGTCATGACCCCGTAGTCTTCTTCCTCATATGCTATCACCATGTCTATCCTTCTTCTCCCGTCCCTGAACATCAGGGACTCGGGGTCCAGGCCCTGTAGAAAATAATGGTGGAGTAATTTTTAAATTAAAGGGATGCGTGAAAATGGCCAGAATTTCTGACACTCGAAAGAAGTTAATATAATTTTGACTATTGTTTAGCTAAAAGAAGTAAATACAAATAAATGAGATGAGCTGTAGAAAATATTATAATGAGATGGTTGTATAAAATAACACATACTTTTGGCATATTATTCAGGTGCGATTGCGGTCAAATACCTGCCTTGTCTTACATAAAAAAAATATGCGTGTGATATAGGAGCGATTTTGCAGGAAAAAATAGTGTTTTTCAGTAGCATTTGAAATAAAACTCAAAGGTCCTTCCACACTGATGATTAGGTAAGATTACCTCAAACTGCCGGAACTCAAGCCAGTTCTTCTGCGGTTGAGGATTCCGAGTGAAGCTCGCTTCCACTTTCAGCCTGATCATCACTTTCCATCAGGTCATAAGCAGGTCAAGAGCTTCCTCGTTATGAATTATAAAAAGCTTTAAAATATGAAGTCAAAGGTTAAATACCTCAGGACTAGTCTCTCCCACGTTCTCATCCTTTTCATTGGGATAGTTCGGCAGTGATGGTTTCCGTTCATCTTTGCTTGTGTAGTCTGAACTCTTGCTATCTGGTTTTGACTGTGAACAAAGAACAAAGGCCTTCTATTTTATACGATAACTTTTATTTGGTAGGAAGGTTCTTAGTTAGTACGTTCTAACTAAGCTGTTGTTGCTGTAATTGTACTAGCATGGACCATAGGGGGCAGGGGTGTCGCGGAAGTCTAAGGCTACGGCCGGATACTCGCGACACCCCCACTCGGGCGATGACGTAACGCCGCGGAGGTTATAACCAGGCCTGTTCATCTCCGCGAGTTTACATCGAAAACAAAACACGCACGATGGCCCACCTACAGGATACTATTCGACAAGGCCTCACATACGAGCGAACATACTCGCACACGCGTATTCTTGTGTGTGATGGAAGAAAATAGAGAAAATGGTGTACTAAATACTGTGCAGTATTTAACTGCCTAATAATAATAAAAACACAGAATGTACTTTTTTAAGTTGCCTCAAGACACAGGGAGGTAAATAAGTAGTTAATATTATTCATGTTAATTCATGCTAAATCATGTATTTTCTCCGCCATTTTCCGCAGTTTGGCACCTCACGTCACATCATTTTACCGAAGTCAGCCCTATAGCTTCGGCGCAGTGCCGATCACTGACGTTTGTCAACAAAATGGTGTTTGACTCTTGAGACAGGCTAAATTACACCATATTGTTAATGACATTGAGCATAATTTTTTTTAAATACCTTCGCGAAGTAAAACTTCTGTACGAAGTACTTATTATTATTCTGTGTTATAACGCCGTCCTTTTGTCGCGGAGGAAATGCTTTGCCGGGCGCAAATATAAATATAAATAGGGGGCAGGGGGAAATCATAATTTTTAAACCCTCCTGCTTAGATCCTTAAGGAAGAAACTTAAGATGTAGAGTCATACTTCGGCTATGTTGCTTACCTGGAAGCTTGACAGAGGTGTGCCTGGTAACGCTGTAGCCATGGGTGCTCTTCGGAGAGAAAGCCCTAGCCATCGCAAAAGATGCGTATGGTAATGTCCAAACTCCAGAAGGGGTTGCTGGCGTCCGCTGCCCTCTTTTAAGCACCCATGATGCTTAGCTGGAACGGGACTATTCCCACCTCTCGTTCCCACCGCTGCAACTCCTGTGTAGCCAGGATCTACAGCTTGACCGCCAATAACCCAACCAGTGAAGGTCAAGTTTGTCCCCGGGAAAAGTTAAACTGTCATTGGACCCTTGGGTGCTTACCTGGAAGCTTGGTAGAGGTGTGCCTGGTAACGCAGTAGCCGTGGGTGCTCTGTTCTTTGGAGAGAAGGCCCCAGCAACCGCCGTGACGTTTCTGACCAGCCGCCAGCCGAGCTTCGCTCGCTGCGTTGAGCACCCACTCGAGGAGTTCGACTTCAAGTCTTCGCGGAGGATGACCTGGGTTTAAGAAGTTGCTTTAATGAGAAGAACATGGAATGTATTTTGTAATGGGGTCTGGTTCGTTCTTTTCAACCACTGCTGGACAAAGGCTTTCCTCAAGGATTTTGGACAGAAGAGGAGATTAATTTTGCTGTGGGGATAACATTACCCTTTATGAACTGTAAAGAAAGTCTCCCAAGGATTTTACAAGCCGTGAAATCGCTATGGCAACTCAATTGGCTAACTAAAAATAAACGTATACTCGTAGTTTATTGCAAACTACGTAATTGGGTTTTCAGGACTAGATAGGTATTTTAGAGAAATTGTGCTACAAAAAGTTAGAAGCGGGTGTTGAAAAATCATGCGAAGAAAAAGATACTTTCCATCAACAAATATTACGCTTTCATGTCGTTTTGTACAACTTACATCTAACTGAGCTACAGAAAGACAACCTGATCGAGTTAACTGCGCACTTGAGCCCCGATTACGGTAACTTTTATAACGTCTACAATCCAGACGCGTTTCTGATTCTGCGATACGATTGGTCAAAACAGCTGACGTACGCTGTTGAACGACCAATCGAAACGCAGAATCGAGAAGCGTATCTGGATTGTTGACGTTAAAAATTACCGTAATCGGGGCTCTGGCAGCCGTGACGTCACATCGCCGCTTGGTACGGACGGGGTGAAGGCAGGGAGGTGTGCGGGTGAGTGCGAGGGAGAGTCGAATTCAAGCGAGGAATGCTAGCGCAGCTAGCTTATATATTATAACATCCTAAAGTCCGGTCGCCAAGCAGACAGAATTTCGTACAATGACCCCAAGCTACCCATCCTTATCGCTCGCGCGTAAATATTGCTGTCGCGACTGAGAGACGGGCGGTCGCAGTGAATGTACGAGCAATATACGAGTAATTACACGCGAGCGATAAGGATGGGTAGCTTGGGGTCATTGCACGAAATTCTATCTGCTCGGCGACCGGAGTTTAGCAAGGAATATTAGAATCTATTTTTGTAGATACACTCTTTAATTAGTGTTTTGACAGACAAAAAAACACGTGGGGGTTATAATAATCCCGATTTTCAGGGTTTTTAATACAATAAACAATAACAATTACAGATAAATATACAAACACAGAGTCTGGAAGCAGTACCTTTTTCTCACTGGTGTCTAGAATGGGCTCACTCTGAAAATATTTGTGATTGGAGTAAAAAATGTGAAATAAGTAGACAAAGACTTCTTTTTGCTATAAGACAGGCTATAAAGTCCGGTCGCCGAGCACATAGAATTTCGTCTAATGACCCCAAGCTACAGTCGCGACAGCAATATAATTACGCGCGAGCGATAAGGATGGGTAGCTTGGGGTCTTTGGATGAAATTCTATCTGCTCGGCGACCGGACTTTAGTTATTTATTGCATACTAAAACAAATAAATCATTTTTTTTTAACACTAGTCAACCCGGAAAATGGTAACCGTATCAACTCGAGGCGGTCAGTATTCTTTCTTTGTTTCTGGGTTGATAAGTGTGCTATGACCTTTATTCATCAATTGTCTAATAGCATACAGAAGTCTTTGGAAAATTAATAAAAATATAAAAATAGTAGAGCAGCGTGCTAAAATCAGACCATAAGAAGTCATTGAAATGAATTAAAAACTTTTGATTAAAAAGAAAGATAAGGAAGACTAAGGCGATTAATCACACTGCACCGCACTACGCCGCGGTACGCGGTACGACAGATTTAATCATTGTATGCAAGTACCTCAGTTTGTACCTATAGAAAACACGCGCGGCACAACACACTGAAAATGCGTTTGCGCGCGGGATTAGATATAATAATAATATGTAATTACGCGGACCGCGGCGGAGCGCGGTGCAGTGTGATAATCGCCAAAGGCTGGGTTGCACCATCTTACTTTAATTTTTCTAACAAACGTCAAAAATCTGTCAAACTGCATACAAAATGCACCGGTTAACGTTATAGATACGGTCAAAGTTTGGTGGTGCAACCCAGCCATAATTTACTACTTCTGAGAAACGGAGGCATCGGACACTGGTGATCCGAGCACCCTTGGCTTTGCAAATTAATCAGGGTTCTCTAAAAAGTGGGAACGAGGATCAGGCATTAAGGATCAGGGATCGTGTATCAGAGATCGGGGATCAGGGATTAGGGATCTCAAAAAATAACCCGAGCTATTCGGCATTGCAAACATTATTCACCCTGTTTGCTGGGCTCTCCATGATGTCAGCTAGCGAGGTCCCGAAGGCGGCTTCAGGAGCCAGGGTATCAGCTGACCTCCATGGTGTCCTGCCGTGCATGGGGGTCCCAGGCAGGGCCGACTCGTGGCTCCTTCTCCTCGGTCTTGACTGGAACAGAAGATGATTTTTTATCCACGACGAGGAAGCTCTTGGCCTGCATCTCGCCTGATAGAAAGTGATGATATAAGAGCGAACTTCACCCGGAATCCTCAACAGAGAGAGTGGATAAGAGGTAATCGAGTAAACAAAGTAATACCACAGGTAATAATACATCAGAGCCCGAGTGCCCGAGCAACTGCAGGCAGGAGGATTTATTGAATGCTGCTGACAACGCCACTCTTGTAGCCTAGTTTTGGCCTGACACTGTGTCAGAAAAATATTGTAAAAATCTATTCACTTCATATAGGTACCTCAACAAAGACATGAGTAATAAGTTCAATGCGCGTGCCTTATCTACATAGTTATGCGAACGGATCACAAAGAACTAAACAAAGGAGTACCTTCACTTCTTTCTTAGTTAAATGTTTTTAATTGGGAATGAATACCCACTTCACTCTGAGGTTCTAGTATACATACAGGTGGAAAAAAAACCCGTCTGATACAAAATAGGCTTAAATGGTGCTTGTAGTGTTTGTATCTACGTACTAGATAGATACAATACGCTGTCTCACGTACACAAGTGATAGGCAGTCACGTGACGTCGTTACGAGTGGGACGAGTCAGTCGTACGGCAGACGCCGGCGAGTACGGACGTGCCGCAGTGAGACGCTTGGTGTGACGGTGAGCCAGTGTGCACATTTACAAGTGGCGACGAGGATAAATACACATTTTTTGAAAAATAAGGAAAATAAAAGGTCAGTAAAATACATATTTTTGAAATAATAATTAATTTGTAACAAACCTGCCATAATAATTAAAGTTCAGTAATGTCTGATTTCATCGAGTTATGGATAAAATAACGATTATTCTGCTTTGGAAAGGGCATAATTATTTTGTTGTATGAGAATAGTCAAGTAAGCAGGCGAAAACATTTTGGTTTTTATCATTATAAAATCAGATTTTATTAGAAATACATATTTATTATCAGCTTGAAAATAGCAATAAAGTGATGGGTGATAATAAGTAGCGATATTAGAAATAAATAAATAAGTATTCAGCAGAAATCGGCCAAAACAAAATAAAATAAAAAGAAATAAAAAGAAAAGTAATCAGACCTATGGTAAAGCGTATCTACGAATTTTAATGTTGTTTATAACATAAATTACTTCCACCCACTCAGTTTGTCTAGATTTTTAACGTATAACTTAGTACTTTATGAATAGACATACCTACTCACATGAAGTTAAACGCTGTTAATGTCGACGGCGTCCCAGCATTCGGTATTTATAAAAAGAAAGAATCGAACAACGTTCTGCGGCGGTATATTTGTAGTATTATATTGCACAATTAAAAGTGGATCCAGCAATTGGTCAACGGGGTCCGGTACAGGTGGAAGAATTGGTGAAAAGGGAGTCCTTTTATAGTTCTTAAGTAGTAATTTAAACAATGATGGTGGAGTCTGGCTCGCCAGTCTTGTTTTCACATAAATCTAGTCTAAGCCGCATGACTGATCTGGTTACCTCAGAAATGTTATCGTCATTTGGACACAGAAATAAGTGTTGTTGTCACTGGCTCTCACCGTGACTTCACGGGTGGAGTGCATGAAGCGCTTCTTTGAAGGCCTACTAGTGGATTGTCACCATTTCATATAGCATTCATTGCTCTTATTGTGCTGCAAATAAAACAATGAAAATCGATCGGATGGAACAGATGGTAATTTGTAATCGTTTTGAATATTCAAGGTAAGCAATCGAATCTAAGATCTTTCTACAAGAGCGCGGTCCGAGCAGGGTAGAACTTGCGTTTAGCCAGAGGACGTTGTCTGCTAGATGGATGCTTCCCCTGAGGATATCCATAGTGACAGATTCTGNTGGGATGTAACCCGGATCTGTTAGGTAGCCTTGTTGTTTACTAAATTCAAATTAACTTATTTGCATTAATTGAACGTAACTGAAATTGGATGTTTATTAAAGTAATGTATAATAGATATTAAAAAAAAAGAAAAGAGAGTGAGACGTATGAGTACAATAATTCAGTCGGTGTTATCGCGGTATAGCGATCTTTTCCATACTTCTATTACAATAATTAACCTTACATTTACTTGACAAAAACTTTCATTAAAATTTATTAACAAGGAAGGGATGTAGTGTTTGTATCTACGTACTAGATAGATACAATACGCTGTCTCACGTACACAAGTGATAGGCAGTCACGTGACGTCGTTACGAGTGGGACGAGTCAGTCGTACGGCAGACGCCGGCGAGTACGGACGTGCCGCAGTGAGACGCTTGGTGTGACGGTGAGCCAGTGTGCACATTTACAGTGCTCAAAAAAGCTAAGAAGATAGGTATAGATCTTGCCATCCACGTGCGCCCGAAAACTAAGTCAATTTTTTGTATAAATGGCTCGTATAGTGTGGCTTTCCTTAAAAGAATCTTAATCCCCGCAGTGGGCTGCCATTGACTGAAATTACATTTGTGGTAACACGACAAAATTTAATGTAATCACATTGACTTGTGTATGTGTGTACTTTATGTGAATAAATGAATGTGAAAGTGATGACGATGATGATGACCTACCTCATCTCCGCCATCAGACAGGCTCAGCTCAGTCCTGGTGGTAGACGTTGAACTATCCAGGTCATTCCACACATTATGGGCCGTGGTACTGGCTGTAGGGGGCTCGGAACTGGTGCCATCTGCAAGGTAATTGGAAATTAAATTAATATTTAATTAGTCTTAAAATGCAGAATGGGACGTCCACCTGCAAGATGGACTGATGACCTCAGAAAGGTAGCAGGAAGGCGCTGGATGCAGGCCGCTATTGACCGAGTAATATGGAAATCGTTGGGGCCTATGTTCAGCAGTGGACGTCCTATGGCTGAAATGATGATGTGGCTTCCCCAACCCGTCTAGCGTACATGGGAAATGTTGGCCAAATCCTCCATTTGCCTCTGGTAAATCCTATGTTCAGCAGTGGACGTCCTGTGGCTGAAACGATGATAATGAAATCTTCTTACCATCTCTGAGCTCCTTCCTAGCTCGTCCTCCATCATCGCTGTTCCTTCTAGAAGACGACTCACTCTGTGTAACCTGCAGTCGCTCACTCTCAAAAGTTATTCTGTCCAGCACAGACCTGCTTTTCTCAAAGTCGTGACCTGAAAATCAAAATTAAATTCAAATTCTTTATTATAGGCCTACCTAGTGCTTGAACAGTCAGTGCCTGAGGTAGGTAGGGGAGCGGCACGGGAGGGGTGATATAGCATACTATGACGTAATCACGTGACAGAGCAAAATCAAATCAAATCAAATAAATTTATTTGCTTAAAACATGGTGATATACATATATGTATGTAGATAGATAATAATAATAACTGTGCTCATGTTTTACCTTACTATAAATGGCATGCAAATATTTACAATTTAATGATGAAAATTAATTATTAATGTCAAAAAAAATTACAATTTCCAATTAAAATTATGATGTCAAAAATAATTAGTCAAAATTTCTTATTACAATGTCTCATATTAAGAAAGTCCCTTACCCTATAATTCATGTCACTTAGCCATATTATAAGCGACCTTTTGCATCTTGCATTTGGTAGGTTTTTGATATGGTTCGGGATACAATTGTATATCTTAACACACATGGCATCACACTGATCAAGATAATGTTTGTGAATACGGGCGTTAGATTTGTAAGGTAAAGTACTATATCTTACCTAAACCAGCCACCTTCTCCAAACCCTGGTTGAGTTTGCTCAAATGGGCCAGCGCCCGTGGCGCCCTATGCGTGAGAGTGGAAACCTTCTTGACAGCGACCTCTTCGACGCCATTTTCCATTGTTAGCTGAAACAAAAAACAATGGACAATCGATAAGTTGGTTTTTGTTTTGTTTTAGAACAAAGCATCTGGGGGCAATTGTTTTTTTCGTAAGCAGCTTAGGTCATAACTGTTTTTCAAAATAGTTGACAATATTACACAACCGTGCGATGTGGCAGTCATTGGGGGAGGCCTATGTTCCGCAGTGGACGTCCTGTAGCTGAAATGATGATGATGATTAGGGCTCTTTCTCATGAAGACATCCCGTCAAATGAAATTAATTAAATAATATAAAACGAAAATAAGAATTTTAGTCGTTCTATAGTCGGGTCAGATTCAAATTTCAAAAGTCTATAGTCTAAGGTCATTCTAAGCCTAAGCGCAGACCACCGATTTTTTGTTGGCCGATAGTTGGGTCGGGCTGTTAAACAGTACGGAGATGTAACAAAGTGGGCACATTACACCGATTTGGTATCACGAGACTATTCCCACCTCTCGTTCCCACCACTGCAACTCCTGTGTAGCCAGGATCTACAGCTTGACCGCCATAAAAACCCAACCAATGAAGGTCAAGTTTGTCCCGGGGGAAAGTTAAACTGTCATTGGACCCGCAACGAAATTAATCAGAAGAACATAGGAGGAGTTCGAAATTAAGGTTCGACTTCCCTCCATTGCAAAGCGGATGATAGGTTAATCTTTGGACAATTAATCTTTGGACAATTTTCACACAGCGCCAGCTAGCCCCAAAGTAAGCAACTTAATGCTTGTGTTATGGGTGCTAGCTTAACGGATATACTACTTATATACTTTTTTTTTTAAATACATAAATATTATACATAGTCACACCCAGACCCGTCACAGAAATTAAAATTCATCATTTCAATTTCTGCCCGGCCGGGAATCGAACCCGGGACCTCTCGGCATAGTAGTCCGTTCTGAACCACTACACCAAACGGCCGACAAACCACTACACCAATAGGTGACAAACAAAGGTTTAAAACCGATTTGGTATCGTGCAGATTCTTCATACATTAGACACCGACCAAAGTATCGGCCAATAAAGTCTATTAATATCCCAAACATTACTATGAGGTCTCACAGTGCACGTGGACGCACAGGCACACGAACCAATTACTGCTCTATTCAACGCTGTGCGTTCGATTTGCTGCTTCACTTAAGCATCGTTTGTGAATAAGGGCGTTAGTTATTCGTGCTATCTATACTAATCTATAATTACTAATATTATTTAAATGCGAAAGTAACTCTGTCTCTCTGTCTGTCTGTCTCGCTTTCACGCCTAAACCACTGAACCGATTTTGATGAAATTTGGCATAGAGATAGTTTGAGTCCCGGGAAAGGACATAGGATAGTTTTTATCCCGGTTTTTGAAACAGGGACGCGCGCGATAAAGTTTTTCTGTGACAGACAAAATTCCACGCAAGCGAAGCCGCGGGCGGAAAGCTAGTAGCTAGCTGTCCTCACCCATACACCTGTATTCCCAAACATTACTATGAGGTCTCACAGTGACACACGAATCAATGACAGAGAGAGCTCTGTGCGTTCGTTTTGCTGCTTTACTTAAGCAAGCATCGTTTGTGACTACGGGCATTAGTTATTCGTGCTATAGGTCATATAGAGGCGTTGCCAAAGACAATATTATTGCTGTCACCACAGGGCAGTTGTTGACCCGAATCGATGGGACACCCACATGGTCACAGTATTGATCCACACCATCACGTAATGATATTTGAAATGGGGTTTGAGTGCGCTATTAATCCATTTAAATGTCGAGGGACAATACATTTTTGTAGATACAAGCTTTTATTTGATTAGTGAAGTTATTCGCCTGGATTTTTGTTTGTCACGAAAAGTGTCAGGGTTAGTGTCTGTTTTTATAAATGAGATCCATAAACAATGATGCATGAACAATCCTACAAATATTATAAACTAGCTTTCCACCCGCAGCTTCGCCCGCGTGGAATTTTGTCTGTCACAGAAAAACTTTATCGCGCGCGTCCCTGTTTCAAAAACCGGGATAAAAACTATCCTATGTTCTTTCCCGGGACTCAAACTATCTCTATGCCAAATTTCATCAAAATCGGTTGCGAGGTTTAAGCGGGAAAGCGTAACAGACAGACAGACAGACAGACAGACAGACAGAGTTACTTTCGCATTTATAATATTAGTTGGGATGCGAAAGTTTGTATGGATGTCTGGATGTTAACATGTTTGTTACTCTTTCACGCTAAAACTACTCAACGGATTTTGATGAAACTTTACAGTATTATTGTTTATAACCCAGAATAACATAGGCTATAATTAATGACGACCTGTGACAAACTAAATTTCACGCGGGTGAAGCCGTGGGCAAAATCTAGTAACATTATAAATTCAACTTTGACCGTTACATTACACACACCACATTCTATTCGGTTTTGCTCTCTAGCTGATGTAATGCTCGAATCTGTACATTACATTACAAGCGAGTGCTACCGGTGAGGGCTGGGTTGCAAACCATCTTTAACTTTGAAAACTCCATACAAAAAGCACCGATTATCGTCATAGTTACGGTTAAAGTTAGGTGGTGCTACTCAGCCTTAGACTTTCGCATACGTAAACTCAAATGCAAATCGAGTTTACCCATTCACGCATGTAGGAATTCCCATGATGTACCCATGACAATAAAACTACCTACACTTGAATAGTTTCACACCACGCTTTAAAGTGTGTGAAGTGTGAATCGACCAAGTGTTCGTTTTTCAACGTTTGGGTTTAATACTACTAGCTGAACAGGCGAACTTTGTACCACTTATTATAGAATGAAAAATAATTATCATCGTCATTTCAGCCATAAGACGTCCACAGCTGAACATAAGCCTTCCCTAATGACTTCTATCTAAATAAGGTGGCTGACTGAATGACATATTGATCTATCAACGCACAGCCCAAACCACTGGACGGATCGGGCTGAAATTTAGCATGCAGGTAGATGTTATGACGTAGGCATCCGCTAAGAAAGGATTTTACTAAACTCCACCCCTAAGGGGGTAAAATGAGATCCACGCGTACGAAGTCGCGGGCGGCCGCTAGTTAAAACATAGGACAGTTTTACCCCGGTTTTTGGAAAGTGGACAGGCGCGCTATTCAGACTGTAATAAAGCTGTTTCCACCAGCATAGCCGCGGGCATAAGCTACTGAAAAGTACTAGCATACCAATTAAAAGTCGTTTATGACCATTTCCCAGTTCCAAAAGTTTATTTTTGTAACGTTAACTTCACAAATAGCAGTATAGGTTAGTGTTCGTGACTCCCACTCGGCATGGGGCACACTGAAAACCACCGTCGTGGCCTTCCTCACCGGGGGCCACGGCATATGCTGAGTGGGGTCCCATTGCGATGGACATCGCTGCACAATCGCTGTGCGACAGGGTGGCACTGCTCAGTTTACTTTCACTTTCATTGTATGTTTTATGTCACCTACGTCTTATTTGCTTTTTTTATTTACAGCTTTTGTCTTTTGTGATGTCCATGGCAATAAATGTTTCTTTCTTTCTTTCTATTTTTGTAACGTAAACTTCACAAATAGCACTAAATTCCGTATTAAAAATGCCTTACCAGTCACGCAAGTATCGCTACAAAACAGCTACTACGGATAATCGATTATATTTAACTATTCATATGTGAGAGACCGTGTGGCGGATAGGGTTGTCAGGTGTCCGGTTTTAGCCGGACGTTTGGCTTTTTAGGGACGTGTTCTAAAATTCTCTCGTCCGGTCTGTCCGAATTTTGTTTGGGTTTTTATGTGTCTGCAGGGCCTTGTTTGCTAATTTTTGAATAATGCACGCAGGAGACACTGGAAAACAAATATACCTAACTTTTAGCCGCCCGTGACTTCGTATGCGTGGACCCCGTTTTACCCGCTTATGGGTTGAATTTTGCAAAATCCCGTCTTAGTGAGCACCTACATTCTAAAAGGAACCCCCATGCAAAATTTGAGACTCCTAGCACTTGTAATTTCTGAGATTTCGTGATGAGTCAGTGAGTCAGTCAGTCAGTGACCTTCCGCTTGTATAAATATAGATGTAGGATTAACCCATAAGGAAATTCAGCAATTGCTTAGGGCATCACGCACCAAAAAGAACACAAAACAATTTGCTGACACATAACAATTATTTTTTTCGGAATAAACGACCGGAGGTTGGGAGTGTACCTACGCCATGAATGTCCGGTTTCTAGGGTAAAATGTCCGGCCAAATTACGGACCAAGTGTTTTTGGACAACCCTAGGCGGACGATTCAGACTGTTCTTTATTTTCTGTTCTAATCATTGCCCCAGTTATCAACAATTCTTCTGTCGTTTGTTTTAGCCAAATGCCGATCACTGCTGGACAAAGGCCTCCCCTGAATATTTCCCTGACATTTCATAGAGCAGCTCATTGTTATATTCCCAGTGTTATAGATCGTGTCATCCACGACGACGCGCCCCACCATTCTTCCGCTAATACAGGGTGGAATTTTGTAATGCCACCTCGAGGGAAAGTACTCTTAATACTGTAGATAGAAAATTTTACTGAAAGAAAACATTCCTTTATTTTTGAAAAGAAAGAGAACTGCATTCAAAGATTTTCGAAAATTTACCACCAAATCATACAATTTTCTGTAAATAATTAAAATAATTTAAGATTTCATGGTTTTCCTTTCATTTGATTTATCAAGTTTGTTAGAGAGATTTTATCCTTATACTTAACCCTAACGATCGATGCAATAAAAATACAGGGTGTAATTTTTAACAAATTTTAGTTAGTTCGATTCCCGGGTGTGGCAAGCTTATTTTTAGAAATCTTTGAATGCAGTTCTATTTCTTTTTCTAAATTAAGGAATGTTTCCTTTGAGTAAAATTTTCTATCTATCGTATTAGGAATACTTTCCCTCCAGGTGGGATTACAAAATTCCACCCTGTATAATGCCGCTCGGATTGCTCGGATCAAACTCCCTGCGCACCCGCGCTTCCCTCGACCAAAAATTGGTGGGGC